GACGCTCTTTTCGTGCCCACCCTCATGTATTGTTTCGTGTTGGGTGGATCAAGGAAGGCGTCGTATATGTTATGGGCGACAAAATTTAATACTGAAACACACTTGGATCCAACCATTTTATAAAATATATAAATTTTCTTCTAAAAAAAATACCTAATCAAACATATTTTATATTTTATATTTTTAAAAATATATAAATAATAACAGACCTGAATGCATTTTCTAAAGACAAAACAAAAAATAAAACATACAAAAGACAAAAACAAAAATAGAAAACAGAAAGTGATCCCAAACAGACCCTTAGGGTTCAGTTTTGTTGTCGTTGATTTCATATTTCTGCCTCCGGGTGTTTCTCCCTTCCTAGGGTTGTATCCGACTGCGTAAATCGTTCGAGTTAGTGACATTCTTCAAGGGTTTAAGTGGTGCCCCGGCTGTAGCTCGATCTTACGGGAGATATATATCCTTCTCCAGCTTCCCCCGCTTTCCCTCCTTACCCACTACATCCGCCCCCTTCCTGCTACCATATCTGTAATCCCTCGCCTTCCCTGTCGAGCCATCGGTTCTCTGTCCAAGCCCATGCTGCCACCTCTTGTTATGCTGGAGCTCAATCTGCCTCCCGAGCTCCCGCTCCCTGTTCCCGATCGCGAAAGGTCGCGGCCGCGACCTTACAGTTTTGCGAAGCAAAGCTTCGGTTCGCCTCCTGCCTCTTCAGTCGCGAACCGTAGGCGCCAATCGCTCCCTCTTTATGATAAAAGGTATCACGCCTCTCCTTCAGTTAACGAAGTTACTTTTTTTGTGTTCTTCTTCGGGTTTCCTCGGGATAGAGGAATAGAAGTACAATGTGTAGTTCCTTGCGGTGAAGGAAGAAGAAAGAAGAAGAAGAAGATTGTTCTCTCTTGGCTTCTTCTTGGTGGCTTGTGGTAGCAGAGAAATTGAGTTTATTTCTCTTGTAAGTTTATTTTCTTCGGTGTATCTCTGTCCTCAGTGTAGAGAGAGAAGAATAGTGAGTAACGAAGTAAGAGATTTTTCTTGTAAGTCGAGATGATCGACTAGTGTAAATTTTCTTCAAGTAATAAAATCTTCTGCAACTCCGTGGACGTAGTCAATTTGCCGAACCACGTAAATCTTTGTGTTCCGTCGGTTACTGTTTTCTGGTGTGAATTTTCTCGTTCTATTTTTCGCTTTGCCGTCGATTGTTTTTCTATTTTATTTATATATACCACAATAATTGATATATCTTGCAACAACTAACATCAGAGCTTTGTTCGGATCTGAGAAAAAATGATGACCGCAAATGAAATGAAGGTTTCTGGGATCGAAAAGATTGATGACACAGATTTTGGTTATTGGAGGATGCAGATAGAGGAGTAACTCTATGGAAAAAAACTTCATCTTCCGTTATTGGGGAATAAACCTGAAAGTATGGATGAGGCTGAATGAAATCTGTTGAATCAACAAGTTCTGGGGGTTATTCCATTAACCCTATAAATGTCTATTGCACACAACGTCGTCAAGGAGAGAACGACTGCAGATCTTATGTCAGCCCTATCAGGTAGGTATGAAAAACAATGTGCGAATAACAATGTGTACTTGATAAAGAAATTATTCGATTTGAAGATTGCGGAAGGTGTTTCTCGTTCAACACATAAATGATTTCAATACTATCACAAATCAATTTTCGTCTGTTGAAATTGATTTTGATGATAAGATACGTGTGTTGATATTGTTGGCATCTCGTCTGTTGAAATTGATTTTGATGATAAGATACGTGGGTTGATATTGTTGGCATTGTTGTCAAATAGTTAAGAAGCCATGAGAATTATAGTTAGCAGTTCTGCAGGTAAATCTAAACTGAAATATGATGATATTCGTGATTTGGTTTTGGCTGGGGAAGTGCACAGGAAAGATTCTGGCGAGATCTCAGATATGAGTTCAACACTGAATGTTGATTTCAGAGGAAGATGACATGACATGAACTCAAATAGAGGGAGATCAAAATTAAAGTTTAGTCAGCAGGCAATCTGCTGAAATTGTGGTAAGACTAACCATATAAAGAAAAATTACAGGAATCCTAAGAATATGGAGAATGATAACGCAAATGTGGTATCTGAAGAAGTACAAGATACACTATTGCTGACAGTTCATAGTTCTATTGACGATGGAAGTGTAGAGGAGAGTGGGTCCGGGGCACCCATTCCTATTGTTCCACAGACAGATGGTGAAAAATCACAAGACTATGAATAAATCTTGAAGATCAAAGTTCGAGCAAGTGAGAACTAACAAAACTTTCACCAGAAAAGAAGACATTACACAACAAGTATGTGTACCGAGTGAAAAACTGAGCATGATGACAGTAAAGGTGCAAGGCTAAACTTGTTGAAAAAGACTTTCAGCAGAGACAAGATATTACCCATGCAGTGGGAGTTGTAAGCAGAGACAAGAGTAATCCAGGAAATAGCTTGGAGGTGCAAGACTATTTGGACCTTACTGATATGTTGACTGAGGGTATTACTCTTGAGAAACTGAAGTTGTGCACAGCTTCAATTGGTCTTCCGGAGTGAAGCTATAGGCTTTGAGTTGCAGAAGTGAAGGATTCATGTTTAAAGAAAAAGTCATCGTCGCCAGCGGAAGATATCAGTTCGAGGAAAATTACGTTGTAATATGTGTTTCAGTCTCCAAGTGAGAGATTTGTTAAGTTGGAGCCCGATCTGCCTCCCGATCTCCCGCTCCCGCTTCCTGCTCCTTGTTCCCGATCGAGAAAGGTAGTTTTGCAGAGCAAAGCTTCGGTTTGCCTCCTGCCTCTTCAGTCGCGTACCGTAGGCGCCAATGCTCCCTCCTCTTCGTGATAAAAGGTATCGCATGACTCTGTTTTAGTTAACGAAGTCAAGTTTTTTGTGTTCTTCGTCGGGTTTCCTCGGGATACAAGAAGAGAAGTGCAAGGTGTAGTTCTTTGTGGTGAAGGAAGAAGAAACAAGAAGAAGATTGTTCTCCTTTGGCTTTTTCTTGGTGGCTTGTGGCAGAAGAGAAATTAAGTTTATTTCTCTTGTAAGTTTATCTTCTTCCGTGTATCTCGATGTAGAGATTCTTCGGTGCATCTTACTGTAGAGAGAGAAAAATAGAGAGAGAAGAAGAGTGAGTAACGAAGTGAGAGATTCCTCGTGTAAGTCGAGACGATCGAACAGTATAAATTTCCCTCCTCTTCGTGATAAAAGGTATCGCATGACTCTCTTTTAGTTAACGAAGTCACGTTTTTTGTGTTCTTCGTCGGGTTTCCTCTGGATACAAGAAGAGAAGTGCAAGGTGTAGTTCCTTGTGGTGAATGAAGAAGAAACAAGAAGAAGATTGTTCTCCTTTGGCTTTTTCTTGGTGGCTTGTGGCAGAAGAGAAATTAAGTTTATTTCTCTTGTAAGTTTATCTTCTTCCGTGTATCTCGATGTAGAGATTCTGCATCTTACTGTAGAGAGAGAAAACTAGAGAGAGAAGAAGAGAGAGTAACGAAGTGAGAGATTCCTCGTGTAAGTCGAGACAATCGAACAGTGTAAATTCCTCAAGTAGTAAAATCTTCTGCGACTCCGTGGACGTAGGCAATTTGCCGAACCACGTAAATCTGAGTGTTCCGCCGTGTTACTGTTTTATGGTGTGAATTTTCTCGTTCTATTTTTCGCTTTGTTGTCGATCGTTTTTTTGTTTGTTTTATATATTTTATGGTGTGAATTTTCTCGTTTTATTTTTCGCTTTGTCGTCGATGGTTTTTTTGTTTGTTTTATAATATATATACCACAACAACTCGTATATCTCGCAACACCTCTAACCGTACCAGCAGCCCACCTGCTCACCGCAAACCCCTTTCCACCTCCCAGCTGAGCCGTCTAGTCCTTCCAGCTGCCATACTGAGCCGCACTACTTCATCCCATCACTTCGTTGCTGTGCCGCACCCACTTAACTAGTCCCTGGTAAATCATAGACCAAGATCCCCTTCTTCCGGTCCCAACCGCAACCCCAATAGCCCCCTTACAACCCACCAACACACCTCCTAGCTACCCTCGTCACTGTCCATTGGCCGTCCCGATTTGCCCTAAATTGAAATTCTTGTTGTGTTGTATTTTCTTTCTTAATTTGAGTCTTGTTTGTAACCACTTTGGTTTTGAGTAATAAAATTTTGCTTGTCGTACCGAATTTCGGGTTAATTCCGGTATCAAACTATTAATTGATAAATGTTAAATTATTGCTTAATACATAACTATGTTAACAACTTCTTATTATTGGTCAATTTGTTTAGTGAATAAATACTTTTTGTTTAGCATAACTAGAAATTAAAAATAAATTGAATTTAATTAAACTTAATAATTATATTATTGATATGGAATTCGGTTTCTGTATTCCAACATAGAGTTTAAATTCTGAAAGAACTTGCCAAGGAGTTTTATAGGATTTAACTGGATTTGTTAAATCCACTGCCAAATACTTTTTGAGATTTAACCATTTTAGGATTTATTCTGATGTGGATTTACAGGATTTAGTAAATCCTACTGACTTAAATTCTATAAGTTGCCAAACTGACTCTTTACCTTTTAGAAGATACCCAATTATTCATTTTGTGTCTTGCGAGCTCCTGTTTAATTTTTTTTCTAAGATTCAGCTTATGACCTTCATTGTCTGACTGTTTTCTATGCGTCTTTCAGGAATAAAATGGAAAGTTTTGTCTCGGAAGATCTCCTATATAGAATAAAAAATTTTCCGATGGTTTTGTTTGAAGGTGAAGCCTGGAAGGCCATTGGTCGTCATTGCATACGGGAGTCTGAACGGAGAAAGGTGGTATCCTTGCATGTGGGAAGATCATTTACTTTGGATGAAATGTGTTCCATCCGCTGTAAAATTAATTGCAAATTATTTTTGTTCACTGTAATTTGCATTTCTACAGTCACATATGGAAGTAAACCAAACGTTGCAATTGTATTCGTATAGTTGCCTTGAGTGAAGATAAAGAAACAACCTAGCCTATTATAATTTCTTTCACTCTCAAATGTACATACCATCTTCTTGGTTTGATGGCAATTTATTAATATTTTGAAATAATGCATAAATTGATCATTTGACATGACATCTTGGTAATGAACCCTCTCATGCTGCATAGGGCGCTTCTTAGATGCCAATCATTATTTTATTGACTAAATATTTTTTCAGATTTTATGGCATGCTTTTCTTAATTCTCGTTAAGCTATTTATTAGCTTCTAGTCATTTGTCATTTAGGATTAATTTGATGTTTTTGTTTATGCGAAGGAAATTTTCACATTATGAATATGGCCTGTTATTGTAAATCTGGAATATGGACATGTGATTTCAATGATTGTGAATGAAGCATTTTGAGTTATAGTTCTTAGTTCTATGAGATTTCAACCCCTTATTATTGATTGGGGGGATTCGCATGTTCTCCCATGCTTTGAGAATTCTATGTTTTGATAAATCGGAATTAGCACCTTGACAACTCCTTGTATACCTTTCTTTTCTCTCTAAAATCTCTACGTTTCTACATTTTTTTGCTACATACATTTCATGAACATCATGGTTGCGAGTGATCTTTTTGGCATAGTGATTCTTATGTTTCTGACAGCTGGCTGCGATTGATCTTTTTGGCATAGTGATTCTTATTTTTCTGACAGCTGGCTGCGAGTGATCTTTTTGGCATAGTGATTCTTATTTTTTTGACAGCTGGCATTTAAATATCTTTGGCCTTCGATTTTTTACGTATAATCAATTTAATGGAAAGGTCTTCCTATTTGAAGTGGGAAGAACTTAGAAGTAAAACATAAATTTCAAATGATTGCCTGGGATTACTAAATTGCGACCTACAGTTTTCCTCCAATTGCCAAATCAATAATAAAAATTCATGCGATTACAAAATGTTAATTACAAAAATTTAAACTGTTTAAATGCTGAAGATGGGATGGAGATCCTTGCTACTTGAAGGGTCAATTTTCGGTTTCACTAAACATATGCCATACTTTATTTTTGCTCTTATTTGTGCAAGCATTTAAGGCACTGTTTGGTTGCTGCACATGGGTTGTCATGCTATCCCCGACATAAAAATGCAACCAAATTTGCCATATTATCTAGGAAGGGATTCTTTGAAGTAATTTAACTTTATTTACTAATTTTTAAATCAAACACAAGAATTTAGTTTGCATATAAATCTTGTTCATTGCATTGATTTCGTTCTAACTAATCAATCCTTACTGCTTGGAGAGTTTATTTTCACGGTCAATAAGTTTAAGCTTTAGGTATTTTTAAAATCTAGTTTTGATTGACTACTTATTTTCATAATGTGCAGGCATATGTCTATACTTATCATCTAGGTTAGTAGAATCTCATGAATTATATTTTCTTCAATTTTGTAGAATGTTGACTGGGATTCTGGAAAGCCACATGCATATCACTGTCATGTCAGTCTCAGTGGAGAAGTTATTTTTAAGGTAATTTGCATCCATTGAAAGATGCTTTTACTTAATTGATCTTTGTGTCGGCTGATTTATTTATTGTGTTATGCTTTGAAACAATAATCCTTCAGGAATTCTGATAAGTTTTCTCAACATGCTAGAAGAAGGTTGTGGTATGTTGAATATCTGGAGTGTTAGTGTTGTTTTATTTAATGGCATGTTTGGCATGATGCATATTTGCAAATTCATAGGTTCTTATTAATTTTCAAGTAGAAAGAAATGGCTAAACTCTTTGATGAGTAATTTTGAATTTTTTTCAACTTCTTACGGCATATGTTAGCTTACTTGGACTTCAATAGTTTTTGTGGATTTAAAAGTCTTATACAATTTTCATAATTCCAGTGATGAAGCTGATTTGGGCTAGATTTTGTATTTCTTTATAGATTTATTGATTTCAAGTGTTCTTAGACCATTTTCATGCTTAAATAAATTATTTGGGTGTGGTTTGATCTTCAAAAGTTTCGTGGTTTGCTATTTAGATCCTAATTAAGGATAGTTGAAGCTAGTCTTTGGTGGACTTATTGTCAGACTTGGTGAGACTTTGATCAAATCAGATGGATTCGTGCTGAAGATGACCGGCTCTTAGTTAGAGACTGTGTTATAAGAAAAACAAAATGATTTTGTACTTTTAAATGAGAGTGTTAAATCTCTACATGTTCTTCGGGTTACACCCAAAAAATAGAGCGTTAGTCGGATGAGAGGAACGAGTGAAGGTACAGGAAGGAGAGTAAACAACAAATAATGCTAATTCTTTTGAAATGGATTCAGTAGTCCTTATTGTGGCAATGAATTTAATGCATGTCATACTTCACTTTTAAAATAGCCAAATATATATTTAGGCTATTTAATTTAAATCACTTAGCAACTTTTATAAAAATTTAAAGAGGCTAATACTTTGATCTGTCAATTTGATAAGATTATATTATTTTTTTAATCTTAAATAGTAATAATATAGCTGATAATTTGACATTAAGCTCTAAATTTAAATAAACTCAAAATTAAAAATTATATACTGTAATGTAAACTTAGAAATTTATTATAAAAAATATATTTCTTTAATATATTTATAACATACTTTTATCTGTGATTATTAAATACATATATATTCATCAGAACTCTAAAAGAAATTCAAGAATTTAATCTTTTACGTATCTACCACTCAATTTTTTTGTATTTACATGTCTAAAACCTAAAATTTAATTTTTACATACATGCCACCTTATTTTAGCTTAAAAAGTGTTTTTCATTTTTTAAAATTTAGATGTGATTTTTTTAATGTGATATGAATGATTTAGGTGGTATGACTGTAAATGGTAAAGTTAAGGTGTTAGATATGTAAATACATAGAGATTGGGTGGTATGTATGTAAGTGGCCCAATAAAGAAAAAATGACCCCGTCACTTGTTCATTTAGTCTCACATCCAGTGGAGGCTTGTCACTTCTGCTCCATGTAAGAAAGAGCAACAACCTCTTATGTGAGAGCTTTTGAATGTAATGTTTTTTCTCATATAAAATATGAATACAGTTTCTGATGAGTATTTTTGACGTTATTTAAAAAAATAGTAAAAAAATTCAATTTAACATATTGGGTGTCTGGGCGGTTTAGTGCAGCTGGCAGGGGCAAGCTTATATATTTATTTTTGTGTGTGTGTGTGGGGGGGGGGGGAATCATGGAATGACCCACCCTCATTTGCAAAATTTCAAAATTTAGGAGGGGCAATTGCCCCCTCTCGATTGAATGTAGGTTCGCCCATGGACCAACTTATTTATAGATCATAGGGGATGTCTAGTAAATTATATCATTGTCTCTCTCTTAATGAGAATGTTACAATGAATTTATGAGCCATTAGGGGATGTCTAGTAAATTACATGATTGTCTTTCTCTTAATGAGAATGTTAAAATGAATTTATGAGCCATTACACCTTTAAATATTTGTAACCGACTTTGAAATTTTTTGACCCTGGTAACTGCTACTGGCGCCGCTCTGTATTGGTAACTGTTATTAACGTTGTTTCATATCCATAGTCGTTCAACTTGGTCGTTCGATCTTCTCTCGGTCAGCTAAAGTCATTCGGTCGACTGACAAATCTTAGGTTGGCTTCTTTAAGGGTGCCTCTCATGAAGATCCATTGTCCTTAGGAAGGAGGGTGCATCATCGTAATTTGATGGGCATCATTCCTTTGGTCCAGAGATCTTTATAGAAGGTCGGGGGGGAGGGGAGTTCTATTAAGTGACTGTTGATTTTGCATGTGTCCTTGCGCCGGTTTAGTTGCAGTCGATCTAGGTGCGTGGCCTTATTTCGTTTTGACGAACTTGCATTCGGTCGACACATGATTTGACTGACTGAAATGATGGTTGATGGCTTGATCTTTTGTGATTCATTGAATTTTCTCGAGATTTATGTAATCAAATTCTCGATGTATAGAGAGTTATAAGAAAAGAATTTTTTGACAACTTGATTGAACGAAGAGCTTACCATACATTAATCCAGATAAGGGAAGCTTTGTTTGCTTTGGAAAATACTCGAAAAGTTAAATCCATGTGTTCAATGTAATGACGATTGAGATTGGGAAACTAAATGAAAATCTTAGCATAGTTTAATTGAAAACTTTTTGGTCTGTTGAAGGCTAAAAAGATGCCTAATGTTGGAGGGGCACTTGCCCCCTCTCGATTGAATGTAGGTCCGCCCATGGACCCACCTATGTATAGATCATTGGGGATGTCTTGTAAATTACAAGATTCTCTCTCTTAATGGGAATGCTGAAATGAATTTATCAACCATTACACCTTTACATATTTGTAACCGATTTTGAAATCTTTTGACCCTAGTAACCGCTGTTGGCGCTTCTTCGTTTTTGTAATTGTCACTGGTGCCGCTCCGTATTGGTAACTGTTATTAACACTGTTTCATATTCGCAGTTGTTCGACTTGCTCGTTTGATCTTCTTTCGGTCGGCTAAAGTCATTCTGCTGACTGACAGATCTTTGGTTGGCTTCTTTGAGGGTGCCTCTCGTGAAGTCCCATTGTCCTTAGGAAGGGTTATTTTATCAGGCAGAGGGTGCATCATTGTAATCTGATGGGCAGCATTCATTTGATCGAGAGATCCTTATAGAAGGTCACGGGGGAGTTTCGTTAAGTGACCGTTGATTTTGCAAGTATCCTTGCGTTGGTTAAGTTGTTGTTGATCTAGGTGCGTGACATTATTTGGTTCTGACGAACTCACATTCGGTCGGCACATGATTTGACCGACTGAAATGATGGTTGATGGCTCGATCCTTTATGATCCATTGAATTTCTTCGAGATTTGTGTAATTAGATTCTTGATGTATAGAGAGTTATAAGAAAAGAATTTTTTGACAACTTGATTTAACGAGGAGTTTACTATACATTTATCCAGATAAGGGAAGCTTCCTTAGCTTTGGAAAAAACTCAAAAAGTTAAATCCGTGTGTTCAATGTAATGACGATTGAGATTGGGAAACTAAATGAAAATCTTGACATAGTTTAATTCAAAACTTTTTGGTCCGTTGAAGGCTAAAAAGATGCCTAATGTTGGATTAGTGATATTTTGATGCCAATATATAAGAAAAAAAAAGTTGTTCAAATTTTGTTAAGTATAAGAATCTTTCAAAATTTGGGATGTTCATGATGAAGTAACAAATACTATTAAATAAGTAGCAAAAGATGTATTTGGAGAATTAAAAGAAAAAGTTTCTTTAAATAAAACTAGTTGGAGAATTAAAAGAAAAAGTTTTTTTAAATAAAACTAGTTGGTGGTGAAATAGTTATGTGCAAGAAAAGATAAAATATAAGAACTTATGTTATAAAAATTGGTTTAATCGTAAAAGCTTAAAGAACTGAAAAGCTTAGAGAACTGAAAAAATATCAAACGACCTGCAGAGAGTCTAAAAGAATAATATGTGATATCAAACGGCCTGCAGAGAGTCTAAAAGAATAATATGTGCGCTAAAAATTCTACTTTTAATGATCTTTATAATAGATTAGATACCAAAAATATATGTATAAATTAACCAAACAAAGAGAAAAGAAAAGTAAAGATTTAACTCAAGTAAAATGTATTAAAGATGAAAAATCAAGAAGTATTTTTCTTAGAAAAAAAATATCAAGAAGTGTTTTTCTTAGAAAAAAAATATTCAACATAGGTGAGCGAGTTATTTTGATAAACTTTATAATGAAGTTTCTGAAAATACGATCGATTTTAGTGATCTTAATATAGTTAATAATAATAAAATGTTTCATTTTTACCGTCGCATTAGTAAAAAAGAAGTTGAGGAGGTTTTAAAGAAAACCAATAGTGGAAAGTTTGTAGGACCTTGTGATATCCCAATTGAAGTATGGAAATGTTTAGGAGATTTAAGAGTTTCTTAGTTTACTAAACTCTTTAATATTATTTTAAAAACTAAAAAGATGCCTGAGAAGTGGAGGAAGATTATCTTGGTCCCCATTTTGATATCTCGGGTTCACGGGATTGTGCAAATTATAGAGTTTAGTTTTTAAAATAATAGTAAAGCCTCCTCAAAATGGGGACCAAATTATTAAAGGGGGCCAAAATACTGAAGTAAATTTATCGTAAGCTTCGTGAGAAACGTGTAGGAACTAAACTCTATAATTTGCTTTGATGTGTCATACTAATATCAAAATAGCTAACCCTATACTGCTTATGATAAATTTTAGAGGAATTAAGGGGATTTACATAGGTTAAGACATTTTAGGAGGCTTTAATATCAAAATGGGTTAGCTATTTATAGGGTTATCATAATATTAATAATGCTTAGGAGGCTTTAATATCAAAAGGGATGCACAAGATTGTGCAAATTATAGAGGAATTAAGTTGATGTGTCATACTTTAAAATTATGGGAGGGTAATTCAACATAGGTTAAGACGTATTACAAAGATTTCTCATAATCAATTTGGATTTATGCCGGGCAGTTCTATCATGGAAGCCATACATTTA